TCATTGGTATTACAGAAACGGCTGAGTTTGGAAGCAGAGAGAGCAGGGGACACTGCCCCCCTAGTCTTTTAAAAGAAGAATGAACAGTTCTTCCCTGTTCATGTTTTTGTTTCTTCAACAGGGAAGAGTGGGCAGGTCTAAGACAAACATGCTGAGCACATTCTGTCAGGAAGGACAGACAGGGAAAAAAGGGAGGAGGGGTTGCCTTGTATATTAAAAATGTACACACTTGGACTGAAGTGGAGATGAACGTAGGAGATAGCTGTGTAGAGAGTCTCTGGGTTAAGCTAAAAGGGGTAAAAAACGAGGGTGATATCATGCTAGGAGTCTACTACAGGCCACCTAGCCAGGTGGAAGAGGTGGATGAGGCCTTTTTTAAACAATTAACAAAACTATCCAAAGCCCAAGATTTGGTGGTGATGGGGGACTTCAACTATCCAGACATATGTTGGGAAACTAACACAGCGAGGCACAGGCTATCCAATAAGTTTCTGGACTGCATTGGAGACAACTTTCTGTTTCAGAAGGTTGAAAAAGCTACCAGAGGAGAAGCTGTTCTGGATTTGGTTTTAACAAATAGGGAGGAACTAGTTGAGAACTTGAAAGTGGAAGACAGTATAGGGGACAGTGATCATGAAATAATAGAGTTCATGATCTTAAGGAAAGGTAGAAGGGAGACCAGCACAATTGAGGTTATGGATTTCAGGAAGGCAGATTTTGATAAGCTCAGAGAACTTGTAGGTAAGGTCCCATGGGAAGCAAGACTGAAGGGAAAAACAACTGAGGAGAGTTGGAAGTATTTCAAAGGGACGTTGTTAAGGGCCCAAAAGCAAACAATTCCGCTGTGTAGGAAAGATAGAAAATATGGCAAAAGACCAGCTTGGCTTAACAAGGAGATCTTGCATGATCTCAAAATAAAAAAGGAGTCATATAAAAAATGGAAACTAGGACAACTAACAAAGGATGAATATAGGCAAGCAACACGGGAATGCAGGGGCAAGATTAGAAAGGCAAAGGCACAAAATGAGATCAAACTAGCTACAGGCATAAAGGGAAACAAGAAGACCTTTTATAAATACATTAAAAGCAAGAGGAAGACCAAGGACAGGGTAGGCCCACTGCTTAGTGAGGAGGGAGAAGCAGTAACAGGGAACTTGGAAATGGCGGAGATGCTCAATGACTTCTTTGTTTCGGTCTTCACCGAGAAGTCTGGAGGTGTGCCTAACGTAGTGAATACAAGCAGAGAGAGGGTAAGTTTAGAAGATAGGATACACAAAGAACAAGTTAAAAATCACTTAGGAAAGTTAGATGTCAGCAAGTCACCAGGTCCTGATGAAATGCATCCCAGGATACTCAAGGAGCTGATAGAGGAGGTATCTGAGCCTTTAGCTATGATCTTTGAAAAATCATGGCAGACAGGGGAGATTCCAGAAGACTGGAAAAGGGCAAATATTGTGCCCATCTATAAAAAGGGGAATAAGAACAACCCAGGAAATTATAGACCGGTCAGTTTAACGTCTGTCCCAGGGAAGATAATGGAGCAGGTAATTAAGGAAATCATATGCAAACACTTGGAAGGTAATAAAGTGATAGGGAATAGCCAGCATGGGTTTGTGAAGAACAAGTCATGCCAAACTAATCTGATAGCTTTCTTTGATAAGATAACGAGCCTTGTGGATAAGGGAGAAGCGGTGGATGTCATATACCTAGACTTTAGTAAGGCATTTGATACGGTCTCGCATGATATTCTTATTGATAAACTAGGCAAATATAACTTAGATAGGGCCACGATAAGGTGGGTGCATAATTGGCTGGATAACCGTAGTCAGAGAGTTGTTGTTAACGGTTCTAAATCCTGCTGGAAAGGGATAACAAGTGGAGTTCCTCAAGGGTCTGTTTTGGGACCCGTACTGTTCAATATCTTCATCAATGATGTAGATATTGGGATAGAGAGTACTCTTATTAAGTTTGCAGATGATACCAAACTGGGTGGGGTTGCAACTTCTTTGGAGGATAGGGACATAATTCAAAATGACCTTAGCAAGTTAGAGAAATGGTCGGAGGTAAACAGGATGAGGTTTAATAAGGAGAAATGCAGAGTGCTCCACTTAGGAAGGAACAATCAGTTCCATACATACAAGATGGGAAGCGACTGTCTAGGAAGGAGCATGGCGGAAAGGGATCTAGGGGTCATAGTGGACCACAAGTTGAATATGAGTCAACAGTGTGATGCTGTTGCAAAAAAAGCAAATATGATTTTAGGTTGTATCAACAGGTGTGTTGTAAGCAAAACTCGTGAAGTCATTCTGCCGCTCTATTCTGCACTAGTTAGGCCTCAGCTGGAGTACTGTGTCCAGTTCTGGGCGCCACATTTCAAGAAAGATGTGGAGAAATTGGAAAGGGTACAGAGAAGAGTGACAAGAATGATTAAAGGTCTAGAGAAGCCTATGAAGCCAGGCTTCATGAACTGGGCTTGTTTAGTTTGGAAAAAAGAAGATTAAGGGGGGACATGATAGTGGTTTTCAAATATCTAAAAGGGTGTCACAAGGAGGAAGGTGAAAATTTGTTCCTCTTGGTTTCTGAGGACAGGACATGGAGTAATGGGCTTAAAGTGCAGCAGGGGAGGTTTAGATTGGACATTAGGAAAAAATTCCTAACTGTCAGGGTGGTCAAATATTGGAATAAATTGCCAAGGGAGGTGGTGGAATCTCCCTCTCTGGAGATATTTAAGAACAGGTTAGATAGACATCTGTCAGGGATGGTGTAGACGGATCTTGGTCCTGCCTTGAGGGCGAGGGCTGGACTCGATGACCTCTCAAGGTCCCTTCAAGTCCTATGATTCTATGATTCTATGAATTCCTTCTCACCAAACCCTACCATTCCTTTTTAACTGGTTATACATTATGATTAATTGATTAACCAATTAAGCAACTTTCCATCCCTCCAGTGAACCACATCACACGTAGTGATAAAGATGTGGTTGAACCATAAATGAATATAAAGAAACTAAGTTTCTTATTCTCTCTTGTCTTATTCTCTCTCCCTTTCTTAATGGTTCTCAACATTTTAGCCTAGCAGCACCTTAAAGACTAACAAATCATAGAGATGGGCTCATGAGCTTTCGTGGGTACAACCCACTCATTCCGATAAGAGGAGTATTAAAAGTCCAGTTCCAAAATAAATAGGGGATGGCAGGTGGAAAAGAAGGGAAAATAGTGAATTGGAGTGTTCATATTACAAGAAGCAGATAGAGAAGGTGCAAATTGTTCTCAAGTGCCCATTGGTCGGTTGGTTAAGTCATGAGGATGAGCGCTGGCCCAGAAATGTCCTTATTCACACGTTTGTGATGGCACCAAAGCAAGTAAATGAAGTTAAGTTCCAAGCGTTCCCTGTGTAGTTGGCGTGTGAAATTGGCCTGAAACAACGCATTGACTTTAACCTGCCCAGACACTCATGAATGGATCTCAAAGTGCTCTCCAACAGGTTTTGTTTGCTTTTTTGACGGTCCATAATCCGACAAGTCCGTGCTCTTCACTTGTAACAGCTAATTTAGTTCCCATCATGTAGTGCATATAGTTGGAATAAAGTTTTCCAGAGAGCATTACTTTACATATATTAAGCATTTATTATTACCGTTTTGTTGCCCAGTCCTCTAGTTCTGGGAGATCCTTTGGACGCTATTTACGATCTGATTTGGACTTAATTACCTTATCAGTTTGATATTATCTGCCAATTTTACAGGTCTGGCACGCCTGGCACGGGCACACAGAGTACTCAAAGTCTCTCATGTGCTCACTAAAGCTTCAAGGGACTGACATGGTAAGTCTGCTCCTTGTGTTCAGTTTGGCTCAGGAGGTCCCACCAGATGCCAGAGAACTCTCTCAGTGGGGATTCCCACTACAGACACGGGGACCTCAGGAGGTTCTGACACTCCCAGCTAGTGCTTGGGCAGGAACTACCATCATCTCTCAACTCCCAGACTGAAGAAGTGAGACTTGAGTCAGTATCTTCTATTGTCCTAAATAGCCAGCTGGTGGAATGTTCTTGGAGAGCTTCTGTGTGTGCCTAGGACAGCAGGGGACAATCAGCCTGGGTCCTGGCTTCCTGAGTTGGGGGGTTGCCATCCATTCTGGGGCCACTGTGAAATTTTGAGGGCTTGTGTCACGTCTCTGTGAATCTGTTCCTAAACCCAGGAAAAGGAGGAGTCGTCCTCCTGGCCAAAGTTAAAATTGGACACCCCTATATGGAGAAGAGTGACAGAGTCAAGTGACTCTTGACCCTGTCAGAGCCGCCAGAATGTCTGTGCCAGGTGGTCTCAGGCTGCCAATGGGTGTACGTGGCCTCCGTGTCCTGACTTGTACTGCAGAGCATCATTCGGCCCTGGGACTAGGCTTCGTCACCGGGTTGGGAGCATCAAACCAGGTTTGGAGGCAGAGACTTGGGCTCCTGGCCTTATAGCATCTCAGCAGTCAAAAAACCCTTCATCAAGGAGATGGTCACTAAGCAGGATTGGTTGTTTCTGGAATACCCATTAATGATAAAAGTTGGTAGGTTGCCCACATTCTTCACCAAGTATTGTGGATTCGAGGGTGTTTCTCCCCTCTGCATATGTGGGAGGGCATTCCACCTCACTATAAGGAAAGGGGTCACCTATAGTTATAGATTTAAGCCCAGTGCATGGTTTTCAGTTAGAGGCCAGTGTTTGATGGACTAGCCAGGGAGGCAGGGATAAAGTTACAAGAAATTTGAAACTTGGACGCTCTAAGTGTTAACGATTTCCATGCAGACCAATTCCCCAGATCTTCGCACTGACAGAGCACAGTAAGAACAGTACAGGATTGAATGACCCTGGGACTGAGCCATTTCATGAAGAGGGCCAAGCACCATCTCCCCAGCGAGCTCTGCACAAGCCATGATCTGTGAGCCAGAGCACTTAGGTGCCTTTGTGAAGTTAGGAGCCTTTGTGAACAAAGCAATGAAGCATCCGACCCCAGATCTGTTTAGTCATCACACCATTGATTATGGGTGTTTAGCGAGTGGGGCATCACGTAGTACATGATGGTAATAAGAGCTTGGACAGGGTGAGGCTTCTCCTCTTCAAATCGTCCTGAAAGAGAGAAGTAGAGACCTGGGATGTGAAACACTAAAAGGGAACAGAGGTGGGAGATGCAAGTTCTGAAAGTTTTGAGCCGGGCGTCCGTTGTGGGGAGTCTGAAGATGGCCCTGAGGATGTGAATATAGGACACAACAATAAAAAACACATCCAGACCACTCAGACAGAATAGCACAAAGAGGCCGTAGTGACTACTGGCTCGGGTATCACCACACGCCAGACCTACCACCGGCATGTGCACGCAATATGGCCGGGGAACCATGTTAGTTCTACAGTATGACCACTGCCTTGTCAGGAGGACACAGGGCAATATGATCAAGGCACCTCGCAGCACCACGGCCAGGTCAAGTTTGGTCACCGTGGCACTTGTCAAGATGGTAGTTACCTTGCCAGGAGGAGAAAGGGCAATATGATCAAGGCACCGCGCAGCACCACGGCCAGGTCAAGTTTGGTCACCGTGGCACTTGTCAAGATGGTGGAATGTGGCAGGGGATGGAAGATGGCCACATAGCGATCCAAAGCCATGGCCACGAGGATCCCAGACTCTATTATTATGAAGCAGTGAATGAAGTACAGCTGCACAAGGCAGGCACTGAAATCGATCTCCCTTGAATTGAACCAGAAGATGCTCAGTGCTTTGGGCACAATGGATGTGGACAAACCAAGATCAGTCATGGCCAGCATGCAGAGGAAATTATACATAGGCCCCCGGAGGCTCATGTCCATCTTCACGGTGTACAGGATGGTGAAGTTCCCCAAGAGGGCTATAATGTACATGGTGCAGAAGGGAATGGAGATCCAAACATGAGCTGTCTCCAGTCCGGGAATGCCCTGCAGGATGAATGTGGAAGGGTTGATGACCTTGGTTGTGTTAGATTCTGACATGGAGTAGAGGAGAATGGGTTGAACTGCGAGGTAGATCAATGCCTCCTGTATGTACCGTATGTTTTCCTGACTTCCTATTACTCTTGTCCTTTGATGAAGGTTGTAGGAGAAATCCTGGAAGGAAAGGCAATATTCATATCAGACAAAATAGGCATGACTGCTTGCTGTTGTGATAGGTGGGTCAGACTGGTCTCCTCACACACTGAAATGTGCCATTTTCATTGTTCGGATAAATGATTGATGAACAGCTGGATTTTTAATATGAATTCCGTATTTGATGGAGCTCTGCGCTCAATAATGTTTCATGACCTTGGAAGCTTTAGTAGGCACCAGCTGGAAAAAGTGTCTTGGGGCCCTTGTTACCAATTTCTGTTTCTTAGTGCCTTGAAAGTCAGGCTAGAGATCATGTGCTGTAGAGAGCCTCCCCCTCTCCCATTCCCCTGGTTGCTCCAAATATGAGAGTGGGAAATAACCACAAACCTTTTCCAAGATCTGTGACAGAAGGAACCATCCCAGTTAGAACAGACAGTGAAAAGCCCTGGGGGACATAGCCAGTAAATGCCTAGAAACCGTGCTCAGTCGAAGAAATGGCCAAAGCCAGGACAATCTTGGGATGCTTGGAACATGTGCTCAGATTTCATCCCTTAGCCTCTGGAAAGGACACAGGTGATGTAAAGGGGGTTTGCAAGACCCAGGAAAGATAACTGTGATTTCTTTAAGCGTCAATGAGATAGTTAAAAGTCACAATGCCTCAGTCCAGCCCCCTGCCCTAAGCAGAACTAATCCCAACTAAATCAACCCAGCCAGGACTTTGTCAAGCCGAGACTTAAACATCTCTAGAGATGGAGACTCCACTACTTCCCTAGGTAACCCATTCCAGTGCTTCACCACTCTTGTAGTGAAATAGTTTTTCCTAATATCCAATCTGGACCTCTGCCACCACAACTTGAGACCATTGTTCCTTGTTCTGCCATCTGTCACTACTGCCCCTTTGAAACCTCCCTTCAGGAAGTTGAAGGCTGCTATCAAATCCCCCCTCACTCTTCGCTTCTGCAGACTAAACAGATCCAACTCCCTCAGCCTCTCCTTGTAGGTCATAATCTCCAGCCCCCTAATCATCTTGTTTCTTAGTGCCTTAAAATTCAGGCTAAGACCCTCTCCAATGTGTCCACATCCTTTTTGTAGTGGGGGGCCCAGAACTGAACACAATACTGCAGATGTGGCCTCACCAGAGCCGAATAAAGGGGAATAATTGCATCTTTGGATCTGCTGGCAATGCTCCTCCTAATTCACCCTAATTATGCCATCAGCCTTCTTGGCTACAAGGGCACACTGTTGACTCATATCCAGCTTGTCAGCCACTGTAACCCCCAGGTCCTTTTCTGCAGAACTATTACTTAGCCGGTTGGTCCCCAGCCTTTTACATTTCTTGAGAATCTTCCTTCCGAAGTGCAGAACTCTGCACTTGTCCTTGTTGAACCTCATCAGATTTCTTGTGGCCCAATTCTCCAACTTGTCTAAGTCACTCTGGACCCTATCTCTGCCCTCAACTGTATCTACCTCTCCTCTTAGCTTGGTCATCTGCAAACTTGCTGAGGGTGCAATCCATCCCCTCATCCAGGTCATTAATAAAGATATTGAACAAAACCAGTCCTGGAACTGAACTTTGGGGGACTCCACTAGAAATGGACCTCCATCCTGACATCGAGCTGTTGATCACTGCCCGCTGGGTCCAACCTTCCAGCCAGAATATTGTGGGAGACCGTATGAAAAGCCTTGCTAAAGTCAAGGTATATCACATCCACTGACATCCCCATGTCCACAGAGCCAGTTACCTCATCATAGAATTTAATCAGATTGGTCAGGCAAGACTTGCCCTTTTTGAATCCATACTGACTATTCCTGATCACTTTCCTCTCTTCCAAGTGCCCCAAAATGGATTCCTTAAGGAACTTTCCTTGAGTTTTCCAGAGACCGAGGTAAGACTGACCAGCCTAAAGTTCCCTGGATCATCCTTCCTCCAGTTTTTGAAGATGGGCAATATATTTGCCTTTTTCCAGTCATCCAGCATCTCTCCCGATCTACATGACATTTCAAAGATAATGGCCAAAGGCTCCTCAATAACATTTGCCAACTCCCTTAATACCCTTGGATTCATTAAGTCAGGACCCATGGATTTGTGTACAATTAGCTTTTCTAAATAGTTCCTAACCTGTTCTTTACCCACCAAGGGCTGTCGAGCTTCATCCCTTCTTGCGTCACTTAGCGCATTAGTCCAGGAGCCGACCTTGTCCGTGAATACAGAGGCGAAGAAAGCATTGAGTACTTCAGCTTTCCCCACATCATCTGTTACGAGGTTACCACCTTCATACAGTAGGGTCCCCACACCCTCTCTGATCACCTTCTTTTTGTTAATATGCCTGTAGAAACCATTCTTGTTATCCTTCACATCCTTTTCCAGTCACAATTGAAATTGTTCTTTTGCCTTCCTGATAACCCCTCGGCATT